TTTTTTTTTTTTTTTTTTGGTGGGAGCTGCAGGTCTCGCTGGGGCTGGGGTACAGACAGTGTGGTCCGTGGCAGATTCTGCTGGACACCTCCTTCCTCTTCCGAAGAGAGGGAGTAGGGTTTTGGGTGCGGGGAAGTGCCCAGGGATCACCTCTCAGGGTGTCTCCTCCCGGAGGATTCTGCTGTGACCTGATTCTAGAAAGACTCAGATCAAGGTTAGTCTCTTTGTTCTTGGAAGTCTAGATAACTCTGTTCTGGGTTGATCAGCCCCTTCACTAACCAATTTCTGCCTTGTGGATCTTCTCCCCTTTAGCTAAGCTGCACACTAGCCGCGGCCATCTTGGAAGTCCCTCAATTATGATCTTATTTTTCTTTACTGATCTTCTGATTTACTTATGAATAAATATTACCTGTATATAAAATTTGTTTCTGTCTGAGTTATATATTAAAACTGAAAGTACTCATAGAAATCACAAGGAATTATTTTACATAAATGTACACTTGAGCTAGGCAGGAATACATCAAATTTTTGGCAGACTCTGAATAAGTAAACAATGAAACTGGTGTATAGTCATCTGTCTAAATCCAACCATCTTCATGTATTCTGCATATGGAGAGAACAGTCATGGATTGCAGCAGAGCCCCAGAGAACACCTGTCTACTTACCCTGCTTGTCATCCTCTCCTTGTTGAAAAATTATCTGTACTCCCTATACTCATTACACATAACATTGAACTTTATGAAAACAATATTCTTTCCAGATTATGCTCTACAACCATATTAATACCCAATACTAATGACATTTTCTGTCAAATTGACATAAACCTGAAACATCTGAAAAGGACAATTCTTTTTTTTTTATACTTTTTTTTTATTAATTACACATTATTCATTTTGTATCCCCCCATAAGCCCCTCCCTCCTCCCCTGCCGATCCCACCCTCCCTCCCCTTTCTGCATGCATGCCACTCCCCAAGTCCACTGATAGGGGAGGTTCTCCTCTTGTTTCTGATCTTAGTCTATCAGTTCTCATCAAAAGTGGCTGCCTTGTCCTCTACTGTGGCCTGGTAAGGCTGCTCCCCCCTCAGGGGGAAGTGATCAACAAAGAAAGAGAATTTCAGGCCAATCTCCCTTATGAACATTGATGCAAAAATACTTAACAAAATACTTGCAAACCGGATCCAAGAACACATCAAAGATATTATCCACTATGACCAAGTAGGCTTCATCCCAGGTATGCAGGGGTGGTTCAATATCCGGAAATCCATCAATGTGATCCACCATATTAACAAACTGAAAGAAAAAAACCACATGATAATCTCCCTAGATGCTGAAAAAGCATTTGACAAAATCCAACATCCATTCATGTTTAAAGTACTGGAGAGATCAGGGATACAAGGCACATATCTAAACATAGTAAAGGCGATATACAGCAAGCCTATAGCCAACATCAAACTGAACGGAGAGAAACTTAAAGCAATCCCACTGAAATCAGGGACAAGACAATTCTTAATTGAGAAATTGCCTTAGTACTACTGGGTGTTGGGCAAACCTGTAGGAATTTTGTTAATTAGCAATTGATTGGGGAAGATGTAGTCCATTGTAGGTGATGGCAGCAACTGATGGTGATCCTGGGTTCTGCAACAGAGCAACCTGAGCAAGCCCTGAGGTGGAATACAATAAGCACCACTCCTCCATGGCCTCTACTTAGCTGCTGCCTCTGGCTTCCTTCTCTGTTTGAATCCCGGCACTGATTTCCCTCAGTGATGAACTGTTACCTGAAAGTGTAGGAAGAAGTTAAGTTGCTTTTTGTCATGATGTTTTTTCATATCAATAGTAACTGTAAATAAGACACACACTTTACCTTCCTCTTTCTCTCTGTTCCATGTTTCATTTACCACAAGTTTCCTTCCCTCACTGAATTCCCCTTCTACAATCACATAACAATCGTGTTCATGCTTATGTAATCATGTTTAAAATATAGTATTTAAAAATGAGGGACTACATGTAATAGATGTTTGGCAAGACATAGGTCCACCACTGCCTCTTTTTCATAAATCACAAACTACTCTAAATTTTATCTGCTCTCAAGTTAGAGACCCAGAAACAAAAGAAACAAATGCTCTTAACCACTGATCTGGCACTCTACCCCTAAACCTTTCTGTTTTAATGTTTATCCTTCTTTATCTTCTCCATTTATTCTCTTCTCTTCACGTTTCCCATCAGTCCCCTATCCAGAATTCCTTCTACTTCTCCCAGAATCTTCCTTTTTTCCTTTCTCTTACCTCCTCTTCTCTCTTCCCCTTTTTCTATCTGTTTCTTTTTTTTTCTTTTTTGTTCAGGATATTTATTGTTTCCTCAGGATTGTAATCAAAGGTTTTTCTAGTATTACTGTTGTACAATTGACTTGCTATAAAGGGTTTCAATTTTTTTAATAAAAGTCTCTCATGAGTTCATCTTGATATATTTGGAGTTGTTCCTTGAGCTTCTATGTTGACTTTTTGCCCCAATGGTTGCTTACTTGCTTTGATGATATTTTTGGCTGTAGATTTATCCTGCATTCTCTCACAGCTCAGTGCTCAGTCTATTTACTTTCTCATTTGGTGACTAATTTGCATAGGTCTCTACAAGCCAGCCCAGCTACCCATATTTTATAAACCAGCCTTTGTGGTGACAATTGAAATTCTTCAGACAAGCAGGGGCAGCAAGATGGAGTCACACACACAGGTCTTCATACTCCTGCTCCTCTGGATGTCTGGTGAGATACTAAAGAGTATGGAAATATCATCAAAAAACTCATTTTTAGAGAAACAGCTATTTATTATTGGTATCCATTCCATTAGAAAATGCATTTTGATCCCAACATTTGTATCAGGAACTCTTTGTGTACATATGTGTATACTCATGGTCTATTTCTGATTGCAGGTGCTGAGGGGAACATTTTGATGACCCAGTCTCCCGAATTCATGTCCACATCTGTTGGAGACAGAATCACTCTAAGTTGCAAGTCCAGTCAGAGTGTGAGTGGTTATGTAGCTTGGTACCAGCAGAAACCTGGGCAGCCCCCTAAACTGCTAATCTATGGTGCATCCACTCGCTCCTCTGGGGTCCCTGAACGCTTCACAGGCAGTGGATATGGGACAGATTTCACTCTCAGCATCAGCAGTGTGCAGGCTGAAGACCTGGCAGTTTATTACTGTCAGCAGTATAACAGCTATACTCCCACAGTGCTTCAGCCTTCAACACAAACCTCCTTGAAAGTCTCACTAGCTGCCTGCACCACACACAGCCCTGGCTCTGCACACTTCCTCCTTCTGCCTGAGATCTGTTATGCATGACTAATTGTTGCAACCTTCAGTAGAAAATTAATAAAGTGATGGTCACCATTCTTCCATAGTGTTTGCAACACAGGTGCTTATTGATAAAAAGTGAGACGCTAATTGAAGAGATGTAAAAGTTGTGGTGTTGCACTGAGAGGATACATTACAAGCAAATAAACATTAGTGAAGTTTTCAGTGTCATGTCAGCTTTAGATATCTCCATGTTAAGCCTTTATGTTATAATGAATCTGTATAAAATTTGATAGAATTTAAAATCATTTACAAAGAATACAGAATCATGAGATCATTAGTTTAGATTAAGAATCCAAAAGCAATTGGTTTTTGACCTGGGCAGTGATCATCTTGCTTTCAATTCCTTCAGAGTTGTCCAAAGATTTATTATACAAGCTGCAAGGATTAAATCCCTTTAAAAACTGTCAGCATTCTTCCTGTAAAATGCTTACAGTCTTTGTGCTAATTAATCTTTGAAAATATTAGGACACATTTGCTGGTTTATGGGATCTTGGTGTCTTTTAAAGATTCAAATACATGTACATACATAAGGAATTAAAGAAATAAACCCAGGGAGCATGTTGAGAGATAAATGGACCCAGTGCTCTCTCCGAGGCCCTCAAGAAAGCACAAAGAGAATAATTGTTCTATGTTTTTCTCCAAAGTATTCTTGGCCAGGTCCAGTCTGAACATGGGGCCTGAGCCTTGAAGGAGTTAAGGTTTCAGTCCTGGGAAACTGGGCTTTGTACTCTGAAGGGCACTTGTGACTGAGGCATCCTGTGTGTTCTTGACCAACAGTTTCTGATTTAGCTCTCTTTTCACATGGATCCAACACCTCCATTCAATAGTATAGAAGATGCTATACTTCTTAATAAAATTCCTTGACATAGTCATTATCTTATGCAAGCCTTCCTGGTCCCAACTCTTCCTTTTGTCTTCTTTTTTTTCAATTATTTATTAATTTCACTTTGTATCCCCCTTGTGGCTCCTTCCCTCCTCCCGTCCCAATCCCTCACTTCCTCCCCCCTCTGCATGCATGCCCCTACACAAGTCCCTGATAGAGGAGGTCTTCTTTTCCTTCCTTCCTATCTTAGTCAATTAGGTCTCATCAGAAATGGCTGCATTGACTTCTTCTGTGGCCTGGTAATGCTGCTTCCCCCTCAGGGGGAGGTAATTAAAGAACAGGCCAATCAGTTCATGTCAAAGACAGTCCCTTTTTCTATCACAATGGAACCCACTTGGACACTGAACTGCCATGGGCTACATCTGTACAGGGGTCTTCGGTTATCTCCATGCATAGTTCTTGGTTGGAGTATCAGTCTCAGGAAAGACCCCTCTGCTCAGATTTTTTGGTTCTGTTGCTCTCCTTATGGAGTTACTGTCCTCTCCAGATCTTACTGTTTCTCACTTCTTTGCTAAGTTTCCCTGACCTCTGCCCAAAGGTTGCCCATAAGTCTCAGTATCTATATTGATAGTCTGCAGGGCAGAGTCTTTCAGAGTTCCTCTGTGTCAGGCTCCTGACTTGTTTCCTCTTTTTTCCTTCCTTTGATGTCCATCCTCTTTGCCTGTCTGGATAGGAATTGAGCATTTTAGCAAGAGTCCTCCCTGTTGGTTTGTTTCTTTTGGTGTCCTGGATCCACTTTCTTGGTGGCCTAGTTAGGCCCCATCACCAGGGGCAAGTGATCAAAGAGCAGGCAATTGAGTTCATGTCAGAGGGAACCCATGCCCCCTTACTTTGGCCCCTAGTACTCAGATTTGTTACTTTTGTTGGTCTTCTTATGGAGTTTCTGTCCATTCTGGGTCCTTCAATTCCTCCACTCTTTCCTATGACTTCCTGCCCTCTGTGCTTTGATCCAATGCTGCGTGGAGCCTTTCAGAGGACATTTATGAGAGGATTCCATCCTGTTTCTTCTCTTCAACCATTTCCAGTGTCTATTATATTTACCCTTCTGAATGAGAATTAAGCATCTTCTCTAGGATCCTCTTTGTCATTTATCTTCTTTAGTTGTGAGTATTGCCTTATAATTATCTAGTATTTTGCTTTTCTTTCTTTCTTTTTTCTTTGTGCTTGCACTTTTTTCTATCTATGTTTGTATTTCAAATTCTTCATTATATATCCCAATTGAAGCCTCCTCCCTCAAGTCCTCATCCTCCTAGTCCCACTTTCCCTCTCTCTCTCCCCATATTCCCTTCTTCTAGTCTACTGAAAGAGAGAGTTTTCCTTTTTTTCCCCATCTCCTCATACTTATGAAGTCTCATCAGGACAGCCTGGATCCACTTTCTTGGTGGCCTAGTTAGGTCACATCACCAGGGGCAAGTGATCAAAGAGCAGGCAATGGAGTTCATGTCAGAGGCAACCTCTGCTCCCCTTACTTTGGAACGCACAGGGAGACTGAGCTACCACTCAGCTACACCAGAGCCGGGGTCTTGCTGGTCTCCATGCATAGTTCTTGCTTAGTTCATTAGTCTCTGAAGGATACCCTGGGCTCAGGATATTTTAGCTTTGTTGCTGTCCTTGAGAGGCTCCTGTCCCCTCATGTGCTTCTTTCTCCCACTTCTTCCATTAGACTCCCTGCTCTCTGCCCAAAATTTGGCTGTGATACTCAGAATCTGCTTAAATTTTCTGTTGGATGGAGCCTTTCAGAGGACCTCTACCCTATTCTTTCTCTTCCACTGCTTCTGGTGTTTATCCTGTTTGCCATTTTGAATGACATTTAAGTATCTTCCCTAGGATCCTCCTTGTTGTTTAACTTCTTGAGTCTGTAGATTTTAGTATGGCTATTCTATATTATCTGGGTAGTATCCACTTATAAGTGAGTGTATACCATTCACTTCTTTCTGTTTCTGTGTTACCTCACTCAAGGTGATCTTTTCTATTTCAATCTATTTGTCTTCAAATTTCATGATTTCCTTGTTTTTAACAGCTGAGTATTTCATTTTGTAAATGTGCCATAATTTCTGTTTCCATTCCTCCATTGAGGAACATCTGGATTGTTTTCAGATTCTGGCTATTACAAGTCAAGCTGCTAAGAACATAGTTTAGTACATGTCCTCATTGTATGGTGGAGCATCTTTTGGGTTCATTCCCAGTAGTGCTGTAGCCGGATTTTGAGGTAACACTATTCCCAAATATCTCAGAAAGTACCAGATTGATTTGCAAAGTGCTTGTACAAGTTTGCACTTTTACCAGCAATGGAGGAGTGCTTTCCTTTTTCCACATCCTCTCCAGCATGTGTTGTCACTTGTGCTTTTGATCTTAGTCATTCTGATCTGTGGTAAGATGGAATCTCAGAGACATTTTGATTTGCATATACCTGATGACATGGGATGTTTGGCGTTTCTTTAAGTATTTCACCACCATTTGACATTCCACTGTTTAGAAATCTCTACTTAGCTTTATACCCCATTTTAATTTTGGATTATTTTGTTTGTTGGTGTCTAATTTCTTGAGTTCTTTATATATTCTTGATATCAGTCCTTTGTCATATATAGGATTAGTGATGCTCTTTCCCAAGTCTCTAGGCTTCTGTTTTATTCTTTTGACAGTGTCCTTTGCTTCACAAAAACTTTTCAGGTTCAGGAGATCCTATTTATTAATTTTTGATCTTAGAGCCTGAGCTGTTGGTGTTTTGTTCAGGAAGTTGTTTCCAGTGCCAGTGAGTTTGAGGCGCTTCTCCACTTTTTCTTCCACCACATTTAGTTTGTCTAGATTTATTTTGAGGTACTTGATCCACTTGCCCTTTAATTTTGTGCAGGGTGATAGGTATAGGTCTAATTCATTGTTCTACATGTAGACATTCAGTTAGACCAGCACCGTTTTTTTGAAGATGCTATCCTTTTTTCCATTGTATGGTTTTGACATCTTTGTCAAAAGTTAGGTATCCATAGTTCTTTGGGTTTTTTTTTCTGGGTCTTTGGTTTGATTACATTGACCCACCAGTCTGTTTCTATGACAGTATGATGCAGTTTTTATTTCTGTTGCTCTACATTACAGCTTGGCATCAGGGCTGGAGATACATCCAGAAGATCTTTTATTGTAGAAGATTGTATAGCTAGTCCTTTTTTTTTTTTCTTTTTTCCATATACTGTTAAGGATTTTTCTTTTAAGGTCTGTAAAGAATTGTCTTGGTAAGTTGTGTTGGAATTGCTTTGAATATATAGATTGGTTTTGTTAAGATGGTCATTTTTACTATGTTAATTCTACCAAGCCATGAGCATGGGGGATCTGTCCATTTTCTTTTATCTTCTTCAATTTCTTTTTAGAGACTTAAAGGTTTTTTTTCCATACAAATCTTTGACTTGCTGTTATAGTTACACGAAGATACTTTATGGTTTTTTTTTTTTGTGACTATTGTGAAAAGTATTGTTTCCCTAGTTTTTTCTCAGCCCATTTTTCTTTTGTATATAGGAAGGCTACTGGTTTTTTTGGAGTCAATTTTGTGTCAAGTCACTTTTCAGGGGATGTTTTTCATCTGTAGGAATTCCCAGGTAGACTCTTTGGGTCACTAATGTATACTATCATATCATCTGCAATTAGTGATACTTTGATTTCTTCTTTTCTGATTTGAGTCCACTTTATCTCCTTTAATTGTTACTCTACCTAGGAATTCAAGTACTATGTTGAAGAGATATGATGGTAGTTGGCAGCATTACCTTACTTCTGATTTATGTGGGATGGATTTAAGTTTTCTCTCCATTTCATTTAATGATGGCTATAGCCTTGCTGTATATTGGCTTTACTATGTTTCTATGTGGCTTGTATACCTGATCTCCCCAAGACCTTAAACATGAAGGGGTGTTGGATTTTGTCAAAATTTTTTTTTTCACAATCTAAGGAGAAGATAATGTAGTGTTTTTCGTTTCCATATGTATATGTATTAGATTACTTTGATGGATTTCTGTATATTGAATTACCCCTGCATAACTGGGATGAAGCTTACTTGGTCAAAGTACATGAGATCTTGCATTCTGTTTGTGAACATTTCTTTTGATTTTAATTTTTTTAA